TCACGCTCCTTCGTCCCTGCCCACGCTGTTCCCTGATCTCAGGATGGTTCCTTCTACCTCACTCTTCCCCACACCATGGCCTGCCTGCCTGGGGCTACTACAGATAGAAAAAGAAAAAGAAGAAGTCAACGCTATGGTAAAACAGATGCGTACTTTGTAAACAAAAGAAAGTAAAGAAGAACAGAGGAACAGACAATAGGGAAAAAAAGCCACATAGAAGCTGGCACCGGAACATCCATAGTAGCATGACTCACAATAGCCAAAGTCACTAATCCTAAACCACAGATTAGTAAAATATGACATATCCACATGATGAAGTGTTCTGCAGCAATAAAAAGCAAGTACCAATGCATGACAGAACACAGATGAACCTTGCAAATGTAATGCTAAACAAAAGCAAAATACAAGAGAAGATCTATTGTTTCACTCTATCTTAGCAAGGATCAGAGAGGCAAATCTATGTACACAGAAGGTGAATTCATCGCTACCCAGGGCTTAGGGTCAAAGTGCAAGACACTGGAGGAAAATTGGGACTGTCTGGAGTCTTTTTTAATTTTTCAAAGTTTTATTAGTCTGTGTTTGCAGCACATAATGTGAGCATTCACCATGAGGAGCTGGTTCACACATACAACATCTTAATTCTTCTTACTTCCCATGCACAGTCTTTCTCTAGGGTAATGAAACCATTCTAAAATCAACTGTGGGGATGGCTAACTCTGAGGATACTAGAAAACACCAAATTGTATGCTTTAAATAAATGAATTACATCTTAAGCTGTAAAAAAATTTCAATTTTTTTCTCAAAAACAGACTCAGCAAGCTGAAGGTTTTCTAGGAGGCTTTCCTTGATTTCTTTTGTGTGTGTGTGTGTGTGTGTGTGTGTGTGTGTGTGTGTGTGTCCAGCTCAGCCCACCAGGGGGCGGGGCTGGCTGGCATGTGGTGCTGGGGGATTGAACCGCGGTCCCTGTGCTTTGCTAAGCTTGTTCTAAGTAGGTGCTTTGGACCACTGAACCATCTTACCAGCCCCGCTTTCCTTGATTTCTACACACAGAAAATGCGCACACACACGTACTCATACACACATGCACACACGTACCCCTCAAGTAGATCTATATCACGCTTCGTAGACATGTTAAATTATCTTAACAATTCCTCTTTCAGCAAATTCTGGAATGAAGTGGGAAAAAAACATTTTTATGAAATCCTCATATATTAACAAAAGTAGGAGCACTAAACCCTCATATTCATACGCTTCAGTTCAGTCTATTCCCGTTCTTTTCCATAAGCCATTCCATACCTTCCCTTACTCTCAATCCAAGGCCCAAGGAATTTTAGTTCTGCCACCTAATAGTAATTCAACATGTCTTATGTGCTTTATTTGCCAATAACTGCCCTAAACTCTTGGCAGGACTTAGCCATAATCCTTAAACAACCCTAAAGATAATATTCCACAACCCACTTTACAACAGATTGAGACTGCCAAGTCAAAATAACTGGCTCAGAAGCTATGAAAGATTGGGATTTCAAACTTAGGCTCCTTCATCATATTACCACTTTTAGAAAAAAAAAAATAGTATCTCTCAACTAACATAATTAGTATTTAACTTTGAAGCTGAAATAATGTCCCTTTCCTGGACTCAAAGTCACTTACAAAATCAAGGAGATCACCTACTTGAAGAATAGGTTAAAAATCTCAATTCAAACTGGGATCACCAAGCGGATCCCCTGCCCGTCCCCAGGGTAGCTCTCCACCTGATCCAACTCTCTTGGTTCTCAGAAGTGTATTGACAGGGCCGGGGAGATGGCTCAGTAGAACAAGCACTTGCCTGACAAGCACAAGGGACTAAGTTCAATCCCCAGTTCCACCAAAGGAAAAAAAAAAAAAAAAAAGAAGAAGTATATTAAGACCACAGGAGAACTCCAGACTTGCTCCAAGATAGCAGAAGGGCCCCAAACACCATTACAAGGCAAGGCCAGGCCTGCTGCCCTGGAATTCTGGCTGCCTCTTGGAATGTGACCAGTCCTCAATGAGCTGGGCAATATTCTCAAGATGAAGTACTGATTGCATTCAAATACTATTTGCAGGCTGGCCAAAAAGCTCAGTAGATAAAAGTACCTGCAAGGCAGACACAGTGGCTGGAGTGGGAACCCCAGCATGCCATGCCATCCGCCCCCCACACCCAGGGCTCTAGGAGACGTTGACTGAGACTGGGCGTGGTGGTGGGCACCTGTAATCCCAGCACTTGGGAGGCTGAACACAGGCGGATCACGAGTCCGATCTACAGAAGACACCACTCAGTCCAGTCCTGAGGGGCAGCTTCCTCTCCCACGACTTCTACAGTGACCAGAAGGTTTGAAGGGACACAGGGTCACAGACGGGGTTCACCCCTGAACTTTCTTACTCATCAGTGTGCCCACCCACTTTCCAGACAATGGCCTCACCTTTCCCTCCCTCTGGACTCTGCCACCACCCCACAGCCCCAGTTCCCAGGGGCCACTTTCTCCCCCTCAGCACCACCAGCTGGTTAGCAGCAGGGCCCACCTGGGCACACCTGGGTGCCCGGCTATTCTGGAGTGGTTTGCTGCCTTGCAGTACAAGCCGGTTACTAAATAATCAGAGGCACTGGACCTGTATCAAAACAACATCTGATCTCTGGGTGTGTGAGGAGCCAATGTGACAGGAAGCGAGCAGTGAGGCATTTGAGCAGGGCTCAGGAGACCGTCTGGGGCTGGAGCCCTGTCACAGGGTGTCAGGCTGTAACACGATCTAGGCCACGTTGTCCTCCTGTTGGGCATAACTAGGTGTGAAGTTTTCACAAGGGCCTGTGGCGCAAGGATATTCTGTGACCATAATGAAGAAAATACAAGACCCCTCCTTGGACACGTGAGGACAGACAGAGCATGCAGTCCTAAGCCAAAATCCCACTCCTGTGCCCCAAAATAAGCATAAACCCTCTGTCCCACCATGCCGAGGCACCCCAGGATGACACCACCAATGTGGTCCCTGAATAGCCTATGGCCAAGGGAATGAACAGCCCTTGGCTATCATGACCCCCCACCAGGTCAGCAATGTCTAAGGCTCTGACTGTGACTGTGCCACAAGGAGAAGAGGAGTGGAGTGGCAAGCACAGGGAGGACAACTCAGAGGGAAAACCCTAGGCCGTCAAGCTCCCAGAGCGACAGATAGACGACTTCTACAAAGGCACCTTCCCTAGGCCCCCCTAGGATGTCACAGACATCGCACCAGCCCGGAAGTCCTGGTCTTCAGGTAAGGGTTTTACACGTCCATTTCTCCACCATGACCCAGTTCATTACTCCACTTGAATGAAAATATGTTAACAAAGTCTGCAGAAAGCATGAAGGAAGCCACCACCAGTCACTTGTTAAGCGTCTTCTCACACAGGGCACCTTCCCTGTGGTCTGTGCCCCACCCACCCTACCAGCCCTGGACCAGAAGAGCCGCTCTCCTGCCCAGCCCTTCCTTCTGTCAGACCCGCCAGGAACAACTGGGATGAGGGAATGAAGAAAACTA